TATAGAGTTAGTATACTCACACATGACTGTGACTATGTGAAAACAGAGGATGGAGTAAAAATTGCCTCTAATACTACCACCACCACTATAACACAAACACAATGACTTTGAGGTATACTTCCTTTCAGGTTTTTTCCCCTAGGAATGAATAATACACACACACACACACACACACACACACACACATACATACAGGCACTGTTTTCCTGCTTCATGACCTACTTTTAATATTGAGAGAGAGTTTGAGAGGATAGTGCAATCCCTCACTATTTACATGTGATCTTGAACAAGTTATTTAAACATCTTGTGCCTCATTTTCCCCATGTTTAGAATATTAATAATATGTACCTTATTGATTATTGGGGATATTAAATTGAAGATATATGCTCAGCACTTAAAACACTTGTCAAATGTTTTCTATTACATAGTCTTCAGAGCCATTCTTTTTAATTATTGCATAATATTTTATTGAATTGACATAGAGGCACAAGTGGCTACTTATCTGGTCTCCTACTTTTAAACATTTAAATTGCTTCTAATTATTCGTAATTATAGATACTCTTGTGGTGAGAAAATTAATACTTACAGTCTTTTCCATTTTTAAGATTATGTAGTAGAACAAAGCAGCATGAGTAGGATCATTGGATAAAATGCATGATTGAGTTATGGCTTTTGATTCAAACTGTTAAACTGTGCCCTAGAGAGAAAGTTTTTAGAGATAAAGACTTTTTTTTCTTGGCCAACAGAAAGGAGCCAATGGAGAAACCAATAACAGGTGTGTGTGTCCATGTCCGTATACATACATGGTGGTGGGGTGGGGAGATGGATGTAGAACATACACTTTCCAAAGACACTTCTTAACCTTAAAGGTTAACCTTTGAATTTAGAAAAGCCACTTTATCATTTGACCAGGTAAGAAAATAAAATGAGTGGAGATATAGAGAAATACTGAAGCAGGACTGCGGAAGCTTGTTGAAACACAAACCAGATGTCTTAACTCTTCAAAGTAAACCAAGAGATAAGGTTTCCTGTGAGAGAGACCGAAGGGCGCAGGCTGAGCTAGTTTGAGGAGAGAGGGACAGACTGAGACCATGGCAACAGTGACAGGGGAGAGGACTCTAATGCCACTCACTGCCACTAACTCTTGAGCTCTGAATGATCTGTTCCTCTCTTGGCCTCTGCTGGTCATGACAACATCAAGAAGTGAAAGGACCAAGGGGGCAGTGTTCACACAGCTGACAGTTCCCACATTAGACATTTCCAATCTGCAAGATGCATTTTTTTTTTTTTAGGTCTACAACATATTCTCCTCTTTGGCTGCGTTGTGGGCTGGTGAGATTCACTGTGAAATTATTACTTACTGTCTTCAGTTATTCTCCTCTCATTTTTCCTGGAAAATAGCTTTTGCTACCATCTCCGTATCAAAATTGCTCTTATTAAGTGATCTCCAGTTTGCTAATTCCAGTTGTCAAAAGTGGTCTTCCTCTTGATCAATTGACCCTCCTCCAACTCAAGATACTTGGTTCTCTTAGTTTGCAAGACAACAAACTCACCTCATTTTTCTTTTACTTCACGGGTTGCTCCTTCTTAAGTCTTTCCTATGATATGTTTTCATCTCCCCATCCTCTAAATGCTGGTCTGCCTCAGGCTCACAGTCCCCGAGGCCACTTCTCTTTTCTGTCCACACGGCTCCCTGGGCTACTCATCCAGTATACTAACTTTAAATAGCCTCTATCAGCGGATGACTCCCACACTATTATCTCTCGTCAGGATATCCTCCCTCGACTCTAGGCCCACAAATCCAGTTGCCTCCCTCTTCTTAGATATCTGATGGGCAGTTCAATCTTAACATGCCCAAAACTGAACTCATGATATTGTCCTTAAACTTCTGTCTTCTCCATTTCAGTAAATGGCAACACGAATCTTCTAGTCACTCAGGCCAAAAATGGAGTCATCTTTGACTCCTCTCCTACTTTCATACCCCGTAGGTAATGTCAGGAAATCCTGTCAATTCTACCTTCAAAATGTATCCAGAACCCATCTACTACTTCATGACTATGGCCATGTACTACTCTAGGAGGAGCCATTCTCATTTTAGTTGATGTGAACAGTGCCCCCTGGAGTAGTGCATTGTACAGCTTGCAAGGCACTATGTGCTGGCTCTAGTATCACCTGAGTTCAAACTACCATCATCTCAAATGTACACTACTGCAGTAGCTTCCTAATTTGGTTTTCCTGCTTCTGCCCACTTCCTGTCCATTCTCAATGGAGTAGTCAACCCAAATTTCAGTAGATCGGGTCACCATTCTATCTAGACCTTCCAGTGGCTTCCCATCACCCAGAGTCAAGGCAGAGCCTGACAATGACCTCTGAGGCCTTACTTATCTGCCCTCTCTTCCATTACCTCTCTCACTTTGCTCACTCTCCTTCAGCCACAATGGTGTCTTTGTAGTTTCTTGAACATTCCAGATAAATTTTTGTCTCAGGACCTTTGCCATCTGTCATTATAACATGTACTTCTGGAGCTTGCTTCCCTACTTCCTCTAGGTCTTCATACTCAAATGTCAAATTCTGGAGATGTCTTCTCTGACCACTCTATTTAAAAATGCATCCCATGCCCCTTCACAATTCCTGTCCCCATTTCCTGCTTTATTCTTCTTTCTAGTAGTTATCATTATCTAATATCTTATGTTTTACTTATTTTTCTTGATTATTGTCTGTGTCTCCTATTAGGACGTAGGGCTCCACTAGGGCAGCAATTTTTTCCCACTCTTCGTACTGTTGTATCCACAAGGTATTTCCTGGCACAGGGAAGGCATACAATTATGTACCATAAACCCCCCTCCCCCCAGCCATATAAACAGATGTTTAGTCAGGGTGTGAAGAACTTGAAGTAAAGTGGAAAAAGACTTTGAAGGAGAGTTGGGTAAAGTAAAATTAGAAGATTAAGAATAGTGTTAGTTAAGATGCACAACTTAACTTTCAGGATGTATTCTAAATACTAGTCATTGTTATGTTCTTTGGCTCTTTGCTTTGTGGTTACCTGTGAAGATTAGATTTAAAAATTCATGGAATATGAGAGTTAGAATAGGTCTTAGAGAACACCCTCACTTTAATAAATGAAGAAAGTTTTTCTTCTAAGTTGTGTTGGCAGGATTTTAAATTATTCATTGCAACAAAGACATGGTCCACTTAGCTCACTTATGTTAACATGTGACATGCACAATCCTGGAATGCGGAAACTGGCAATGAAGGTGAGGGCAAATCCTTTCACATAAATAAGACCAAAATGAAATTAGTCTCTCCCATCTACCATATTTTGCTGTGTATAACGTGCACCCATGTTTTTGTGCACATTATACCTGGGATTATTATACCCATTATTATACCCATGGTGTGTGATTATTATACCCATGTATAATGTGCAACCTATTTTTCCTTAAAAAATTTGGGAAAAAAGTATCCATTATACATGGCAAAATATGGTAAATGGTTTTAAACAAAGACTATGTCCATAGTTTTTATAATCAAACACATATTCTAAGGAATAAATGTACTTTTCCATTTTTATTAGCTATTACAATTTAGGTCACTTTGGACACTATTCCTGGTGAAAAAAATTTGTGGGTTCAGTTCAGTAAAAAGAGATTCAAACAGAGGAGTATTAATACATTCTTTTCAAAGAAGCCAAGAATCAGACTTTTTAGTCACTGTAATATTCTTTGGCAGATAAGCAAATCATGGACCAAATACAGAGCTAATAAAAGTTAGTATGATTTTTAAAAACTTACTTTCCCCTGCAAATAAAAATTAAGTCAATATTAAATACCATTTACTGTGTAATGGTTTCAGGGCTAATACTCTTTATTTGGAGAGCTGTGTCAGACAGGGGGCTGAGGTAAATGACTGCTCTCTGTCCGCTCCAGCTGATCGGTTTATTTCTAGAAACAGAGTATCAACACATTTTTGGGGAAAATAGAATAAACATGCTTTCCCTAAATTTGCATTTATGTATATTTTATTTAGGGCAAAATTGGGACCCTTTTGTGAGTACATGCAGAAACTGACAATGAAAAAAATAGGTGGCCTACAAGTTTTGCTAAGTGTATGGAGCTAAATGTGTGAACCCAGCATGGAGCCAGCCTCTGGTCAGCGACAAGGCCGATCCTGTTCTTACGCTAAACAGTAAGAATGTATATTACCTATTTTTTAAGGAATACCAGTCCATGTTATAAAATCTATCTTTAGTTTATATATTTTTGGTTACATTTTTTAAAACTAAAGAGAACTAAAAGACAGACTTTGGTTCTCACTTTCCAGAGAAACTGAAGCACACACAAAAAACGATGATGTATATTAACTTAAACCAAATAATTATTTAGTTATTGACTGAAATCACTTGTAACACTTACATATTAAATTAATGATCCTGGGCTCAGGTCTGAGTTAACTGTGTAGGAGAGTAATTGTTTTGTGTTTCTGATTAATTTGGAAGAAAATACTTCAAAGAATATAGATTTGAAAATAAATTTCTGAACATGAAGACAGCCAATCCTTTATCCCTTTGTATTTTTCTTTCAGCTTGCTTTAAGTTCATTAAAAATTGTTTTCTACATATTCATATAGACAAGAACAAATAGAATGTGGAAAAACAAGGACAAATACAAGTTATTGACAATTTTGTTCCCAAAACAAAATTTAAAAATGCTTAAAAGAATGAGACAAAAATCAGACCAATTTAAATAATATGGAAATCAAAGTGGTTCTTTCTCTGGTTCCTCTGGTAAAATATAATCTTTCTCAGTATTGGTTTTTATATTTATAAAAAAGAAATACAAGTATGTATACTTAGTAGCTCTAAGGTCTCTTCTAGACCTTGTATTTTACAATTCAGTAAAACTCACGATTGAAATTATTATTTATTTTTTACAAAGCAAGGAAAAGAAATGTGATATTTCCTAGCTGGCCACAGTAAAAATTTTATGAAATTATTTACTTACCACAAGACCATCTTGATTTTCATTGAGCTCTGAAAGTTTGGAACTGGATTTCTGACGTTTAGGTTTGCCCCTTTCTCCAATACAGCCAGAAGTATTTTCATGTAATTTTTCCACTTCCTGAGCACTCAAAATACAATCACCAAGGTCAGTGAACCCAGAAGGAATATTTTCTTTGTTGATAAGTCCCCTAGAATTGAAAGAAAATTACCTTAATTGTATTTTGAAAGGTATAAGGGACATTTTAATGACACTGCCACTGTGTCACATAGGAGTCAGAAGAGTGCCTAGAAATTCCATCTTTGATCAAAATCTGAGCAGAGTGTCACTCCTGACACCTTTTGGTGCAAAATAAATCACTGTAAAAGAGAAATTATTCCTAGAGGCAAATTGGCAAGGGCTGTACTTCTAGCAATGAACAACTTTTGTATTTGTACCAAAAGTAATTTGTATGCAAACAGGAAGACTAGTGCAAGCCTAACAATATAATTCACCCATATATATGCATATATAAACACACAATATATATGTATATATTATATACACATACACATGCACATATAAATTTTATACATTAATACAATGTATGGAGAAAATAAAAAAAGGAAATATAATATCTGTTCATCTACAATGAGACATATTGATTTACCAAATGATAAAGGCAGTTTGGCATAGTAAAAATGCATTAATATCTAAATCTTACTGTGTCAGATAATTATGGTAGAAATAGTATAATAAAAATGATGGAATACAAAGTATTTTAACTGAAATACAGGGTTGTTACTTCCCAGTGCAAGGAGTTCCAGGATGTAAGCTTATTACTAGAGGTGCTTCATGACTTAGTTTTAGAAGTAGATATAAATGTCATAATTACAGAATTTAGTTTATTTAACATTCTTGAAATAGTTTGCTTTAAGTATTTTAAACATTCCCTTTTAAGAGGTTTCCAAAAAATTAAATTACTTAGCAAAATGTTTGTCTGTCTTTTTTTCCTTAAGTGTATTTTATTGATTATGCTATTACAGTTTTACCAATTTTTTTCTCCCCTTTATCTCCCCTCCACCCTGCACCTCGCCCCCAGCATTCCCCCCCTTAGTTCATGTCCATGGGTTGTACATATAAGCTCTTAGGCATCTCCATTTCCTATAGTATTCTTAAGCTTCCCCTGTCTATTTTATGCCTACCAATTATGCTTCTTATTCCCTGTACCTTTTTACCCATTCTCCCTCCTCCCCCTTCCTGCTGATAACCTCCATGTGATCTCCATTTCTGTGATTCTGTTCCTGTTCTAGTTTGCTTAGTTTTTGTTTTGTCTTTTAGGTTCAGTTGTTGATAGTTGTGAGTTTGTTGTCATTTTACAGTTCATAGTTTTTGATCTTCTTCTATTTCTTAGATAAGTCCCTTTAACATTTCATATAATAAGGGTTTGGTGATGATGAACTCCTTCAACTTGACCTTATCTGAGAAGCACTTTATCTGCCCTTCCATTCTAAATGATAGCTTTGCTGGGTAGAGTAATCTTGGATGTAGGTCCTTGGCTTTCATGACTTTGAATACTTCTTTCCAGCCCCTTCTTGCCTGCAAGCTTTCTTTTGAGAAATCAGCTGATGGTCCTATGGGAACTCCTTTGTAGGTAACTGTCTCCTTTTCTCTTGCTGCTTTTAAGATTGGCTCCTTATCTTTAATCTTGGGTAACTTAATTTTGATGTGCCTGGGTGTGTTCCTCCTTGGGTCAAATTTCTTTGGGACTTTCTGAGCTTCCTGGACTTTATGGAAGTCTAGTTCCTTCACCAGATTGGGGAAGATCTCCTTCATTACTTGTTCAAATAAGTTTTCAATTTCTTGCTCCTCCTTTTCTCCTTCTGGCATCCCTATGATTCAGATGTTGGATTGCTTAAAGTTGTCTCAGAGATTTCTAAGCCTGTCCTCCTTTTTTTGAATTCTTATTTCTTTATTCTGTTCTGGTTGGATGTTTATTTCTTGCTTTTGTTCCAAATCGTTGATTTGAGGCCCAGGTTCCTTCCTTTCACTGTTGGTTCCCTGTATATTTTCCTTTATTTCACTTTGTATAACCTTCATTTCTTACTCCATTTTTCGACCCAGCTCAATCAATTCTGTGAACATTCTGATTACCAGTGTTTTGAACCCTATATCAGATAGGTTGTCTATCTCTTTGTGCTTTGCTCTTTTTCTGGTGTTTTGATCTGTTTTTTTTTTTTTCATTTGGGTTATATTTCTCTGTCTCAGTGCACCTATTACTGTAAGAAGCAGAGCCTTAGGTATTTGCCAGGGTGGGGCAACCCTCTTTACTGTGTTGTGGGGCTGTCTGTGGGGAAGGGGTCAGAGAAGGAACAATGTCCCTCTCTTGCTCTGTTCTAGCTCCACTTTCCAATGAATTCTCCTGTGAGACTGGGAGTTTCTCCCACCTTTGCAACCCCCACAGGATTTTACAGCTTGCTATTTTGATTCTTTAGTTTCCCGGTCAGCCAGCCCCTGCCTCACCTGCACGGTCTGCTGCCTTGCTCTGGGTCCTCTTCACCTGGCTGCCTGTCTCTGTGTCTCCTACCTACCGGTCTGGATGAGTGTTTATTTAACTCTTTGGTTGTTGAGTTCATGCAGTTTGATTTCCTGACAGTTCTGGCTGTTTATTGTTTTTAAATTGGTTGTTACACTTCTTTTGGTTGTGTGAGGAAATGAAGCATTTCTACCTACACCTCCATCCTGGCTGGTTGTTTGTCTTTTACTACATCATAGAACAAATTAAACCATCAGTGCAGCACCAGGCTCAAGAAGGCACAAATGAATGAAATTTTACCTTTCTTCATGGTATGACCCTAAAGGTACCTTCTTAAGCACCTGAAGCTATATCTTAAAATAAATGAACTCTAAAGAGTGAAATAGATGACCATATTTTACTATCCATTCAACCATATCAAAAAATGAATAACATTAAATATTTATTCTATAATCTGAATTAATATTCTGTCTTATGTGAACTATAGTGGAGCAAAATTATGAATTAATATTATCATACTACTTCCAAAGTGATATTATATTATCATCTGTGATTTTTAATATTTCATATTTAATTTAATCTTTTAAATACAACTTTTCATATAAAAACACATAGATTTAGTAAAATTACACAAAAGATATGTGCAACATTTATAAGAAAAATCCTAATGTAAAATAAGTGAAGACATCTGGGAGTGCTGACAGGGACTAACATGCCAGACAATATACTCATGCAAATATTCTCAGATAACTCCCCCTGCCATGCACTGAGAGCAGTGCCTGCTGTGGATGGTGACAGGAGTTTGTTCTGAAATTCAAAACTATTTGTTTTACTGTTTAAATTCTGTCTTCTTGTCATTCTTAATACTTTCCCTAACTCTAGGTTATAAATCCAATTATAATTTTTTAATGGAGGGGTTTTACATTTTAAAGCTGTTATAGGCTGAACTGAATTCTCCAAATTATTTGTTGCAATGCTAATCCAATGCGATTGTATTTGGAGATAGGGTCTTTAAGAAGGTAATTAAAGTTATAGGAAGTTATGAAGGTGGGGGCTTATTCTGGTAGAACAGGTGTCCTTATAAGTATAAGAAGAGGGAGAAACACCAGGAGAGCATGCACATGGAAGAAAGGCCATGTGAGGACACAGTGAGGAGGCACCATCTACAAGTTGAAAAGAGAGGCCTCATCAACCCTGTCAGCACCTTGATCTTGGACTTCCAGATTCTCAGAACTGTGAGAAAATAAATTTCTGTTGTTTAAGCTCTCTAGTTTGTGGTACTCTGTTATGGTACAAAGTTTATTTTAGAAGCTTTTGAATAGTGAATGAATGGCTGGAATAAATCCTATTCAAATAAATATATGAAAATCTGATTGTGCAGGTATGTTCATGTGGAAATCCTGTTCGCAAAGGAACGTCTTTGCTGTTGTGTGAGTCAGTGCCTCTCACCACAGGACCTATGTGAGTGTGAGGAGCATGGTACACAATTCCTTCCTTCCTGCAACATTCTGAGAGATTTCAATCATACTTGACACGGCTTACCTATGACTTGACCTTAGATCTCTGTGGCATCTCACTTTTACTATCTAGATCTCATATTTTGTTTCTTTCAGAGTTTCCTCCTTATCCCTACATATGCATTCAATGTTCCAGCAATACTGAACCATTCATTTTTCCTCTAACACAGCATGCTTCTTTTACTTTGCAGTAGGAATTCAATATAATACTTATATAATAAAAATGTCCAGTTCATCATGTTTTAGAACATTAAAACCATTTTAAAATTATGCTTTGCCTTAAAAATATTTATTATGAAATTTTCATTCATTGCAATGAACTTTCAAATACCTATCACCAAGATTCAACATTTCATGCACCCAGCAGATGGTAAATTTTTAAACTGTACCCTTTCACGTAATGAATATATTGTCTAAGTTTTTATGTTTTTATTGTAGCAAATAATAATATAAGCCTGATAACATTTCCTTATGAATTCAGACAAATAAGAAATCATGTATACTAAAATGAAGTATATATTAATCTAGTTTAACTTCTGTATTGCTTATTTCAAAAATCTGCTATGATAATTTTAGTATAGACTGTATTGACTTGTCAATCTCATCTCAAAATATGGTAACCATTAGCTTCAAGGATTTAAAAAAAATATGGCTGCAGCTCTGATTTGTTGAGAGGCAAAATAAGAGATAATAATTCAAAAAACTCCTATTTTTCAGCAGATTTTTAACCATTATATAGGGCTAACAGTTTTGAATGGAATATATAGTAAAGTATAGTAAAGTCTAACCTTAAAGTCTAGGTTAATCTCTCCTAATTTTTCAAGCAAATCCTCATGAAAATGTTAGATAAATGAGTCAATTACATAAAAGCATATATTGAGAGAAGCATGTTTACTATAAGCTATAATAATAATTTTCAATTTTCTCACAATTGATGCCACGTTAGGGCATCTCCTGGGGACATATGAAAAGACCTTCATGGGGGAAAAAGTAGGAGGTGTGGGTCTTGAGAAATAAGGGGCTCATTTTCCAAAGACCTGGAGAGCTCAGAGAAGTGGTTCAGTATAGGCTGCGAGTTGAGGAAGGAACATTAAGGAATGATAGTGACCCTGGATCAGCTTAGGAGAGAGCCTCCCTTGGCTTTGGCCAGGTAGCTCCATTGTTCTGATATGCCAAGGTTTCAGGCTCAATCCACGGTGAGCACATATACAAGATACAACTAATGAATGTGCAAATGAGTGGAACAACAAATTGATGTTTCTATTTCCGTGTCTATTAAAAAAGAGAAATAAACATCCTTGGACTTGGAAGACTGTAAGTAAATCTGCAGGACAGGTTACCCTGTGTTTCATATTGCTCTCCTGGTCTAGCTTCTACTCATTTTTGACCTTGCCCCACTGCGTTCCTCCTGTCTGTGGCCATGCATGCACCGCCACCATCACCACTGCCTGTTTCTCTCTGCTGGCCTCACTACTACTTCCAACCTTCACTGGCTATCCCTCTGTCCAAACGAAGAGAGTGGGTGAAAAGCATGATGTTGTGACACACTAAGGGTGTTTTAAAAATGCAAAGTGTTGCTGCAATTTGGCAAAAAATGAGGCAGAGGGTAAGAACAATGTTAAATGAGTAATTTGTATTTGCTGTATAAGATAATATAAGCAGTCCAGAAACTAATCATACACCTAAACACTGCCTATAAAGCTCAGACAGTAGCTAATTGAACATGTAAATCTCCTATATCACATTTTTTCTGTTTTCTATGGGGAATGTTACAGCAGTCTGTCCTCTTCACCAGCTCCAACACAAATGTTTTTTTATTTTTTAAAGTGCTGATTATCTAAACCTATTTGGCATTATATCAAAATATATGTAAATCAAACCATTATGTTTATACCTTAAACTTATACAGTGATGTATGTCCATTATTGCTCAGTAAAAATGAAAAAAAGTGCTAATGTCACTTGAAAAGCCAGTCAGTTATACTAATAATAGTGCCTTACTTCTAAAATTACAGTGTTAATACAGCACTTTAGTGATGTGCCACATGAAATTTACTTATACCATTTATCTTCTGTGTTTTCTTTAAGCAACAAGAAGTCTTTCTTTTTTTTAATAAAGATTTTGATGTAGAGTATGAGTCGAAGTAAGAAAGAATGATGGGGACTGGGATATAGTTTAGTCTTTGACATGTAATAATGAGGTCATGACAACAACTTTACATAACGCCTAAATGCTACAGCAGTAAAAATACTAACGCTTTTGTGAAAATATATGAATACTGTCTATTACATATAAATTTATCTTCCTTGACAATTTAAATCATGATTATTCAAAAATTGTTCATTTGTATTTATCAAACCTTTTAATCGAGAATAAAGTTCCTTGTAATACTATTCTTGAAATTCATGCAGTGGAAATGACTTAAAAATAAAAATAGTCATTATAACAATAAATAACTCAAGTATTTCCACTTTTAATTAAACTTAAGCTCAACCTTCCTTATACTAAAACATAATCAACCGTCAGATAGATATTAGAGAGATATTCTGGTATTTAATTAGGTCAACATAGTAGGAAAATCTGCTGGTTCATATGCTAGTTTAACAGCCAACTGAATGTTGTCTAACAAGAAAAAACCACCTCTGGACAGGCATATAGCAATTTACTCCATTTTTTCAGGATTCTTTGAAATAAGATACTCACAAAGAAGCTATGAAATGTATTAAATCAGAGGTGGCTTCCTACAACATGTCAAATTAAGACAAAACTGAAATGTTTACTCAACCACCTATGAATTTCCAAAGGTTAGCTAACTTTAGAATGGTCAAAATGAAAATTTTAAAAAATTTTAATGTTAATACTGAAATGGGAGTGACTATGACACAGTGACGAACTCAGGTGTATATTTTTGAAAGAAGAGAAAACACAAACAAGTATCACCGACATCAACTCACATGTCTCTGCCGCGTCGCACTTCATCCTGCTCCTTGGACAGGCGCCATCGCTGTCGGGCGGATGTGGTGGAAGGTGCTGGGGGTGATCTGGATTCTGAGTCCTCTGAGCTTTGGCCTCCGGAGCTATTAACATCAAAAAGATGCTGTTCTACAGCTGACCGGATAGTTCTTTCTAAGAGTCTAGTTAAAAAAAAAATACAGAATGATTCAAGCAATCAAGTTTATCCGTGATTGCCTTTAAAAATATGTGCCTATAAATAGGAAAATATTGGCATTCTAATGGAAGACCTACCACAACTTCATGAGTAAAGATAGTATATGAGGCACTCACCTCAAAAATATTTGCATTGTGTGTTAAAAATGAAACTAAACTGAACAAATTCCACCAATCTGATAACTGAGTCTCTCCTCTTTGTGAGTCCAGGATTACTGACATGCCCACAACAAGTCTAGCAACAATTATAGGAGGCAGTCAGGAAATAAGGTCATTTAATATAAGGCAGAATGAGGAAAGATTTTTTTCCTCATAGAATAATAATGGACCTATTCTTAAAACGGTGAGTTTCTTTCAGAATTCAAACCAGTTTTGCAGAGGAGAGTATGACTTACACAGAAAACCTGCACAAATAATTTTATGATGCCTATTATCTATTTAAAGTTCTTTTGAGATAAAATTATACAGGGAGTAACACTATTAACAAAAGAACACCTCACCAGAACAATTACTGCTCATAACAGAAGAGCAAAATCTTTCTGAACCTATTCAGTTAAATGGTGATACATATGATTGAGGCTGTATTCACACAAACACCCCAGTATATATTACTGCCGATGGAAGAATAGATTTATTTCGTTAAACCTGAGAAAAATAATATGTGGAGTTATTTAGTATCTTGGTAAAGCTGTTAAAGTTAAAAAAGAACCACATATATATTTTTAAATGTTCAGATTGAGAAATAAATTCATTCAAATAAAATGGATTTTAGAAATTTAAGAACTTTAGATTTTTCAAGTATAGTTTTATAATAGACTCACAGTAATTTCACTAACACTATTTCAAGACAATGAACAAGTCTAGTCTAACTTGGGCATTAGAACTTTTATATTTAGAAGTCCTTATCCCAATGATCCAAGATTACTAATAGTAGTACAGAGGAATGTGAGTACATAATATGTACATATAGACCAACCCCATACCTTTTCCAAACTATATGAGACACATAACAAATAAAGGTTATCAGGAAACAAATGGGCAAGAACATATACATCTTAGTATAATTCTAGAATCTCTTTAAAATTCACAAAGGTTAGTAAGAGGTCAATCTTGCCTTCTGATTGCTTCCTTGCCTAACAAAAAAGAAAAAAAAATCCAAATTCATTCTATTAGATCCAAATTCATACCAATTAATGCTTCTGCTAATTCTTTTCCTCCTCATCACATCACATATTCCTCTCTTCCTCCACCTGGCCTCTACTGATGGAAGAGGCTCCAAAAAGGCCCACCCATGTCTCACCAGGGAAAATCTTTGGGCAAGGGACTATTTGTAAATACTTATTTAGTGATTAATATATGCCAGGCATCTTTCTAGGTATTAGGAGTACAGCCACGAATATGGCAATATATACATTGCTTTGAAGAGAGATAATAAACAGATCGTGAAATTTCAGATAGTGATACATTTTCCACAAAACAGACTACAGGGTTGGAGAGTGTGAGAAGTCAGGGATGACTTCTGAAGTAAGATAAGAAGACACTGGAACAAAGAGGTGAATGTCCAGGCTGAACAGCCAGTGCGAGGGCTCTGAGGCAGATACGAGTATATGGTTGGCCTTTTCCAGAAACAGAAGGTCGTGGGGCTTGAAGCAAAATGAGCAATGTAGCTGGATAGGTAGGCAAGCACAGGTAACAGGGGTTTAGAGTTTAGTCAAAGTGCAATTGGTAGCCTTAGGAGGAAAAGACACATGATGGACAAAATTAACCAAGTGCTGCCGCTGCCCTGTGGAAAAATGATGTGTTGCTTTCTTTTCTGTGCTCCTATTAGCTTGAAGGCTGAGCCCGAGGCTCATCTGACCTTACACACCTAACACTGTGCTTGGCATATTGCAGGCACACAATAAATGTAGGCTGACTAAAATTAACAAAGGAAGATGTAAAGGCATGGTTAAACTTTAACCTTTAATTGCATCCTCTGTTGCATCATACCTTCCAGCGCACACAGACTGCTTTGCAAATATTGACCCTGACATTATTTAGACTGAAATGAATAAAAATCTCATGTTGAAATGGTAAAGTTGTCTCTAGTCACACCCCCCCAACAGAAGATCAAATAGGAATATTCCTTACTTAGTGCTCTCCTCTTGTGTAGTTTGCAAAGTCATTTGATTGCTTATTGTATTAATCTTCCAACACTATCCAACATTAGAATTGCCTTTGTTTTTTATTTAATAAGTGGGCAAGGAGAAGGAAAAAAAACCCCTTCAATTCAAGTAACTTACTCTCCTGTTGTTGAAGCATTGCTGACTTGGGATACACAGGCACTGTAGAGAAGAAGCAAAGAGAAAGAAAGTCACATAGACGGAAGACCAGAGGCTGTGAACCAAGCATTTGAAGGGGATTTCTGGCTTAAAGTATTGGCCAGGCTCTCGCACGATGTTTATCCAGCCCCTGCTAGATGCTGATTTTCTCTTGTTTCTAGAAATAGAGATGGCCCTGGGTATTTATTCCAGAACAGTGTTTTTTCCCCCTCCATTTTAAAGATGTCCATGACAAGACAGTTTCACAAGTGACCTTTAAAAACTCTACCTTTTACCCTACTGCCATGGTCTTAGTTCAGGGTCTTTTTCTCCCAAACATGAATGCAGTTCTGCTATCTTCCTGCTACCAACTCTACCCATTCCCCAGTCTCCCCAGCCCAAACCCGTCCCTTCCTTGCAAACCTCTCCAGACCTGTACACAGAAACATCTTTCTAACACTGCTTTGGACATGGACAGAGCAGCAGGGACCCTAGGGAAGAGAGGACAAGGAACCAACATTGTTTTCTACATGACTATTTCTCAACCATCTTTTCCAAGCCATCTTTCCTTCATTCCTTCCTAAATTCCTCAAGATACACTATAGCTCAAGTTTTATGTTTCATCTTAACACCTGATTTATAGCTGTTTTGTCCAACATTTCTAAGCTTCCTCTACTTTCCCATTTTTTCTAAAGCATGAATTCCTCTGAAAGTATTAATAAGTAGTCAACATAAAGTGGAAGGGTGAAATTATAGAACACTATTTGATTAGCACCCTTCATAATGTCACCATCTTGCCTGCATATTCTATGTTTACATAACCACAGGGAGGGGGTGAGGCCGGCAGCTATTTTAACCATATCAATATCCACACTTCACACTGCAGGGCTGTCCAACCCTTTGGCTTCTCTGGGCCACACATTAAATACACTGCAACATGTAATCACAAAAATATCTCATAATGCTTTACGTAAATTTATGATTTTGTATTGGGCCACATTCATCGCCATCCTGGCCTGCACACGGCCCACAGGCCATAGGTTGGACACACCTGCTAGGGCTTAGTCAGCTTCTAAATCAAGATTAAAAAGTATCTATGCTTAAAAGAAGAGATTAAAAAAATCTTTAGTTTATGTCAAAATATAGTTTTGCCTAATAGATCTGTTCTTTCCCTTTTCTTCCTTCTTTACTAGACTACATCTAAATAAAAGAAAAACTGTTAATGACCGTTACTGATGGTTACCTTTCAGTCACTCCAAACATCCTAATTTTTAGGGCATAACTTTCAACATATGAATATGCTGCTTTGGAATTGTTTGTTGAGTTTTTCTTCCAAGCACGTGTATAGCTCATTTCTTACAACTCAAGAGTCTAAGTGCCTCCAGGGACTGTATGGTATTCCTCATTTTCTTTCACTGGACTCCTTACCACTACTACCACCACCATACCCAACACAGTATTCACTATCTTGGAGGGGATCAACAGATACTCAAGAGAATTTCTGGTTAAAGCTCCAACTCTTTGTCATGGCCACAGACCATATTCAAATCCCCTCCTCCCAAAACCACCTCAAATAATACTATAGTGTACAAGGGAAACTGCTAGAAGACTCTTCATGAATAACTGAATCAACGAACAAAGAAATAAATATAGCCTAACACTTGCCAACTACTATGTTTCAGACATCGTGCTACATATTTTTAGATTTTCTGATTTACTGTTTACAATAACCCTGTGATGTAGGTTCTATTGTTTTATTTCTTTAAAAAAGATTTTATTTATTTATTTTTAGAGAGGGGGAAGGGAAGGAGAGAAACATCAGTGTGTGGTTGCCTCTAGAGTGCCCCCTACTGGGGACCTGGCCAACAACCCAGGCATGTGCCCTCACTGGCAATAGAACTTGCAATCCTTCAGTTCTCAGCCCGTGCTCAATCCACTGAGCTATACCAGCCAAGGCTTCTCTTTTTAAAAGATCTTACTTATTTATTTTAGACAGAGGGGAAGGAAGGGAGAAAGAGAGGGAGAGAAACATCAATGTGTGGTTGCCTCTTGAGCACTCTCTAATGGGGACCTGGCCCACAACCCAGGCATGTGCCCTGACTGGGAAGTGAACCAGTGATTCTTCAGTCACAGGCTAGCACTCAATCCACTGAGCCATACCAGCCAGGGAGGTTCTATTGTTTTCTTTTCCCCATTTTCAGATGAAGAGGTTAGAGAGGTTAGGTAACTTGCTAAGTCATGAGCCAAGAAGTAAATGAGTTGGGATTTGAACCAAGAAAAGTTTTAGCTCAGAGTCTAAGCTCTTAATCACTACACTAGACTTTTAATCACTCATTCACTAGAAGAAAAACTCACCAGAGTCACTTTTGAATACGCAGCCCTGCATTTAGGTATTTTACTTTGTTTTCATCACAAACATTTCTCCTCTGCCTCACAATGCCTGTTATTCACTGTGGTGCCCACGTTACATAACCAGCAACAAATCCTTTGCTGGTCTGTCCTTAAAGGGAACAGACAGTCCCTGCTTTGATGCTTTGTGGCTCACCCTCTGTAAATTCAACACTGTATAATTAACTCCTGTAGTTCACTTCTCAAAGTAGTTATACACCCTTGGTTTTGGGAGCAGGGACCAATGTGAATAATGACTGGGGGGGATACAGAAGAGGGAAAAGATGTAGATCTGTTAGATGCTAAAAACACTCCAAAGATATATATAGGTTTAATGAACCAACTAGCCCCATGCCATCTCAGAATGAGGAGATATATCTCTTCTCCTTCCTTCTATGCACTTTAGACCTGAACTTGTTTTTGTTTGTTAAAGTACATGCCGATATTTTATGTTCCTTTTTGGGGGGTTATGAGTGGGGCCGAAAAAAAGGCAGGCAAGGAAGAAACAGAGAAGGAAATGGCAAGAAACAGGACCAGGTTCTGAAATTATTAACTAAGTAAGTGCTTCTCAAACTTGAATGTGCATCAGAATCACCTGGGATCTTGTTCATACAGATTCGGGTTTAGCTGGTCCAGGTATACTAAAGGGAAAGCTGAGATTCTAACAAATTCCCCAGGGATTTTGATGCTGGTCATTTGTGGAAGCCACTGATTAGCAAGGTCCTAAATCCCTGCAACTAAAAGTCCTTCAAGACTTCAATTCCTAATCAACAAAACAAACAAGCAAGCGAAATATAACCAGAGACATTGAAATTAAGAACAAACTGACAGCAACCAGAGGGAGGTGGGAGGGGATAACAGGGCGGGGGGTGGAAGGGGGAAGTGTTGTCAGGAACATGTATAAAGGACACATGGACAAAGCCAAAGAGGGACAGGATTGAGGATGGGGGTGGGGATGGCTGGGGTGCAGGGGAGTGGTGGGGGGAAAATGGAGACAACTGTACTTGAACAGCAATAAAAAATGTGAAAAAAAATAATGGTGAAACATAATGAAATATTACTTTAAAAATTAGTATGAAATAAAAATTTCTATATTTTAGAAAAAGGTGAGCATAAAAGATAGTTGTAGATTTTTCCTAAAATCTATATAATTTTCATGAACTCTCTATTTGAAGAAATTGTACTATGAAATAAATGGTAATTATAAATTTTGTCCTATATGTACATTTCTAAAGAATGGAATGTACTTTAAACAGCATACATATTCATAAATTTTCTTTAAAAAATGACTTCAATTCCTTAGGTACCATGGTAGCTATTTGTAAACATTCTCATCTAATCAGTGAAGGTATGAGTTGGAAAGCTTATGCTAATCAGAGTGAATAAAAGGCAACACATAAAATTCCCTTCACAGCTAAAAAAAAAAAAAATGACCTGAACCATCTAAATCAATCTTAAAAAGCCTTTCTCAGAATGCAAAATTAAATGAATAAATTAGTAATAAAACCAAGTAATTAAATCATGTTCATTTTTACTAGCATATTGATCTTGGGTCAAATTTATGACAAACTTATATTCAATTATTTCTTTAATAATCTTTTGGAAATTTTTGTATACTTAATGTGTCCATATTTTCATAGTTTTCTAATTTCTCTAAAGAAAGTATTCTGGGAATATTTTCCATTGGTAATCAGAAAGGAGAAATTCTGGTCTTGGTTCTACAGTTGATTAGCTGAAATCATAGAACTGTTGGTTAGTTTGGCTACATTGGGTTGGTTTCTTCATACAAAAAATAAAGGCTTGGCTAGTAATCTTTGAGGTTTTCTCTTAGTTCTAAAAGTTTATTGCCCTAAAGTTTAAATCATTATAAAAAGTTATAATTGCATATTTAATTTTATGACACAGTGTCAGTCACAGTTATAGTTTATTAGATACCAAAATGACTTTGTTGAGGTATCCTTCTACCTCTGTAGTTCCTGTGGGATGTGCTTAACAACTTATCAGTGAGGTTTCTAAGAATATTTAATGTCTGACATAGGGACACTCCCATAGCTATAACTGGCTCCTGGAAGTAATCTAAGACATTGACAAAAAGGTGAAAAGTAAATAAACTAAAGTGAAAGATTTCCTTCATCTACATGTAGTTTGTTTTTTTTTAATCCTGGGCAAATAGCTAAGAACAATGAATTTTTTTTCATAGCCTTGACTGATTTCCTAAGAAAAGTTCTTACTTATGTGATATTAAACACTTGAATAACGAGTTCATTTCCTAAGGTTGATAAAGCAAGTATTCAAAACCAAAAGTAATGAGCTCATGTGCAGACTCCAGCATTACGGTCAACTTCATTACCCAAGCCTACTACTGCAAGTGATCAGGCCACTGAATTTTCTATTGCCATGACCATTTAAAATGGACTCTAAGCCTACTCTGAGATATATTTATGATGTATTTAAATATATTTAGTCTTAATCTCTATTAGCAACACCAAAACAGCATTTCTGTAAGCTGATTATGCTTAGCAGTATTAGTACATAAAAGTTGCATGATAAGATGCCCAGATGCCTGTTGACAAGCGATTATTTAAAATTAAATCTCTTGATTTGAAATCAAGAAATTTACATGTCAAGTTTCAAAT